TTAAAGGATTTCTTTATGGTCTATCGAGTGACTTTTGTTATTCATCTTAAAGGTATAAAGTGTCCCCTTGACGATACACTTTACATGTAAGAGTAGTCATGCAAGTTTAAGAATATGAAAACTGAGCTACTTGTCGTACGCTTGAATAATGTAAGTTTAGAGACGGCGGCCTTTGTAGACTTATAATATGTCATTGTCTCATTGTTATTTTTCCTGCAATAGCTTCTTCGTGATGCTCTAGTTAACTTGTCATCTGTTGTCAAGATGCCCACGATAAACTTTTGCCACGAAGGATATTTAGAGCGTGGAGTTTCCGTCACCAGAGAAATAAGTAGATTTAGTTTATATCGGAACAACCAGTTCAACTTCGATCGCAATATGTTCTTATCTTTCTCGCGACGTTCGACATAAATCAACGTTATCTTTTCTTGTTTATTACTTATCTGAATCTGTACTAACTACAGATACTTAATAATAATAACTGTACGCTATATTGAGTAGAACCTCTTGTGTGAATGGAATGTGAGGCATTTTTCCCAATTCATCGGGTTTTATCGATTTTGTTATCGATGATTATAAAGACATTTGGTTAAAGGTCTATATGATGGTCCCAAAGGGGGTGGGGGTGGGTGGGACCGAAAGAGGAGGTCTCCCCCACCACTGTACCATAAAAAGTTCGTGGCGGTCTCCTATAAAAAGTTATGGGGGTTAGATGATGGCCCCCACCTCCTAAAGGGGTGGTGGTAGGGGGTCATCTGAGTAAAACCCCATAAAAAATTTGCGGCGGTCTAACCCCCATAAAAAGTTATGGGAGTTGAAAGTTAATTATTTTGACAATTTTCATACACTGTAATTCAAATAAAGTTCAATAAAAAAATTATTTTCAAGCGGGTGCAGGTGGGGTATCGAAAGGGAGTGGTCACTTGAACGAAACCCGATAACCTAACCTAACCTAACCCACCCCACCGTATTGATAAAGATATTTAAATAATGTTTTAAATAACTCTCAATATTTTTATGTATTTTTCATTAGTTTTACCTTTGAATATTGTTTAAGAATGACTATATGAATATTTACATGCCTAGAAATGGGGGTGAGACCGCCACAAACTTTTCATGGTACAGTGGTGGGGGAGACCTCCTCTTTCGATCCCCCCCATTCGGGGGTGGGGCATCATCTAGACCTTTACCAATATTTCCATTAGTGCCATTTAAAATTGCACTATCTTCAACGTCTTATTAAAATCCCAATCACTAATATGTTTCCAAGCTAAATTAAATAATTAACCCAAGAAGAACGATAATGCTCTGAGGCGAATGAATGATGTTGTTTCGNTGGCGCTTTCAACTTTTTGCGTTGTTTCCGTAGTTTAATTTTAATTTAAAGAATTGATTGGTACATTTGTTTATAAATATCTGTATGAGAAAATTGCACTAATACAGAATATGGAATGTTAATCCCGAAACTGCGCTGATTACAGAGTATTCCAAACAATTACTGAACTTGCAAACTAATACTGCAAACTATGTATTTGTCGAATTGGAGCGAGGCTAAACCTATCGTCTAGCCATTACCTGGTCAATTACTTTGAATTGAATCGAAACTTGCGAACATTCACATTATGATCGAAAACGTTAGGCTCCCCAGTCCATGGAATTCAATAATTCCCCTTCTTTTACGTTGACAATACTGAGCAGGAATTGCATTGTTTATTAATGCAAATATTTTTTGTTGTACGTCTAATGAAGTTGTAGCATTTTGTTTGTATTGCTAATGATCATTTTGTGATTTCGAGCTGACGTTTCGTTTCATCAGGGAAAACTTGAACGCGCCGCTTTTAATGGTATAATAGGCATTCGTTGTTGAAATTGCATTTTCCGTTCTCGTAGAAATATTCCGAAAATTCAAATTGGATAAGATATATCTGTGGGCACAGGGACGTTCGTCGGTCTCTGCGGGTATTTCTGGTAGAAGTATTTTATTTCATCAGTGAAATTTGTGACAGTCGTGTCTGAAGCGTTTAGAAGTTTTTGGTTAACCTTCTTGTCGATGTGAATCACGGACAAATTGTCAATTCCCCAGAGAGACCGTGCTGATCGTCGATCGGCTGCCGGACTTCCTAAGAAAGTAGAAATTGCATTATATTCAATCTGCTCTGCTCGACTCTCTCTCTGCCCTGCTCACTTTTCACCCCCGGTTTCTTTTTTCTTTTCGACGGAATTCACAAAAATCTTCTTTTTATCTCACTGCCTCGTTTATTTCATTACCTATCTCTATGTATTCGTCACAAATCGACATCTAATAAATTATATAGGTTATTATTCTATATTCAAAATGACCAATTTTCTTGTACGTATTTTAAAAATTATAATTTCAAAAGGCCCTGCAGAACCTCATCACCAAAATACGTACAACAGTGCACTCGTTGTGAGATTTTTCTTTCTGAAAAATTTTAGAATGAACGTACAGTGGAATTCGTTTATTATGTCTCCGCCTATATTAACCAACCGCTTAATATGAAGTAATTGTAGTGTTAAGTTTGGTTTTCACATTATCATTCACATCCTTTTAAAATGACAAATCGTTTATTATGACTGATTCTCAAGAAATCATATGCGGCTATAGTGACCCAAATGATTGATAATAACATTTTTGCTCATTTTTCTTTTATGTATATTGTAAATACAATTCGTGGTTTCTCTCTATTAAACTAAATAACTAACCAAAATAGAAAGTTGTTTATATTCTAAGACTCTTTTGTACGACGCCCGCTTAGTATGACGTGTTTGTCATTTCCTTTCGATGTCATTACAAGCGGATTCTACTGTATTTGTATAAACAATTTCGCTATTTTTTGGCAGCTTTGTATAAACTCCGGATTCAAAGATATATATCTCTTTATATTTGCAAATATTGTCTAAAATGTTTTAGATAAACAGGAGCGTTATTTTATCGGTGCAGATGACAATGAATAAATTGCTCGTCACTTTCCTCTTTCGAAACTTTTGGATTAGCAACTTGAAGTCAAGGTACCACGGCATCACCATGAACGACACGATTTTAGAAGACAAGAACATACGTGCTGTTCAAACAGCTTTTCAACTTAACTCTTAACAATACCATGTGAACTGTTTGGGGTTGTGTGGTCTATCTCTTGATCAGAGCTTCGTTTAAACCTTGCATTAATGCGTAGTCGTGTACACCCGCTGATGATTATGCTAAATTAAATTATTTTTACTTTCGACGTTACATTGGTATCGTTACAGCACCGATTTCAACATACCGAATAAACCGTTCCGTCTTAATGAACTTTTAAAATGCGAAGGCACATCTTTGAAAAAAAAACAAAGAATCTTCTGGACGTTTTAAGAAAGTGTGTCTGTCAGTTGCGTTAATTAGGTCTGAAACAATCAATAGTACCCCCATTGCCTCTAATACTACAATCCCCGATGTTTACGGTCAAGAATAAATGCATAAGCAAAATTGTAGTTGAGAGCGTTAATGTACCAGATTGTTTTTTTTTACATTTTCGCTCAGATTGCTAAAATAGTTAATGTAAGTACCGTTTGGACGGCATTCTGATGATTAATCACAAATCTTACAATTAATGAAATTCTCACGAATGACAGAAATCGCTTGAATATGCCGAATGTTTCAATTAGGCATGCGATGGTACAGATCACTAAACTCGATTTCTAACGCCATCAGCACCACCAGAGCACACAATGACAAAGATACAGGGGAACGAAAGTGAGAAAGGGTATCCATAATTTCGAATAATGTTACATTTCTCTATCGAAGTTAGGAGATCAAATGGGATGATGTTCTTGTCACATTTTTGATCATATTTTTATTTGTTTCACTCAAGTTGCTAATAGGATAGCGCAGGATAAAGTCACTCTTAAGAACAATAAGTCATTTCTATGCTCACGAATGATTAATTTAGAAATTCGAAAAATATGTGCACGACTCTGTACAGTTGCGAAACGTGATAGAAAAGAAAAGGTTAGAGGCGTTGAAAATGTGGTGTTACAGGCGAATGATGAGGATACCGTGGATAGAGAAGATTATTATAGTTAGAAACATGTTAGAAGCAGAAACAGGAGCTAAGAAGAGCAGAGCAAGATCTAGATTAGATAAAGAACAAATATTTACAGATGTGGGATGTTCTAGTTTTAGCGAAGATTAGCTCAGGATAGAAAAGAGTAGAGGTGCGTGTCCAACCAGTCTTAGGACTGACGACCATATGATGATGATCATTTATTTCGCGTAGGTAAATGTAATTAATGTTATTTTCTCGAAAGTTTGGTAGAATGTTTGATAAATGCTTTTGAACACGTATTTATAAAAGGAAAATGTGAGGGTCAGTATAGGGTTGATTATTATTTCATATTTGAAAAGTTAGCGCACTTTTAATCGTTTCTATGAAAAGCAATTCTGACAAATGTACACGTAAATAACCTTGTGAAGGTTCCGCTTTTGCATTTAGAGAAAACAATAATACCGGAATGGTGCGTGGGCAACAGTATTAGAAACAAGTTGAATTAAATCGGGGTTGATTACAAACAACGCACCACAGGCTTTGCACTTTCTAGATTCTTTAATAACGTAGCAGATGAACAATAATTCATACAAGTTGCGAGTCTTAATTATAAAACGGTTGTTCAAAACTCATTAAATTTGCTATCACGACAACAACGGTTAGAAATAAGCATCACTTCTACCACATTTTAAACTAAAATTAGTTAGGCAACAGAAGGATCACATAATTGGTCGACCCTTATTGCACGTACATGTTGGTTTAATTTGCATGCCATGGAGAAAGCATTATAAAGTGCATTTAAATATCACGGAGAAATAAATAAATAATTAAACAGCAGTTCTATCAATGCAAATAATTAGTTAAATTAGCTTTCAAATGCTACGAATGCTGCAATTCTTGTTTATATCATTTAATATAAAATTAGTAAAAATAAAAATGTAAATAAAAAAAACTTACCAACTACTCGCAGATAACCAAATTGTGTTTTAGCAGTAACCGTGTTTATTTGGCACATATATCGTCCCTTGTCAGCCTCTTCAACATTGTTTATGTGCAAGAACCATGTTCGATGTTTATCATGTGTTACACTTATCCTAGGGTTCCTAGTTATCACATGGTTGTGCACCGTCAAAATCGCCGACTGCTCAAAATGCATCCAAGCAACCTGCAACAGAAGAAATGATTTTCCATTAGAGAAACTAATATTAGAATCGTTGTATCGTTGCAGAAATTCATCCCCTTGTTTAGAAAGCTTAGGCCCTTTTGCTGAGGATTCTACATACGGTATACTTCGTTTAGTTTCTCTAGCGATGTGACTTTTAGTTTGACCGGCGCAAAGTAGAAAAGAACAGCACTAGGCCAGAAAAGAAAGGAGACAACTCTCGGCCAAACTCTTAACCGGTGAGGAGCGTACAATCCGTACAGTACTGCACGGAAAAATTGACCATTTTATCCACTAAAATTGCATTGCTCAAATGTGCTGTTATTGGTACCAATTACTACTGAAAATTGAAGACATATTAAAGGCTTTAACGCTTGTTTTCGACTCGCACTACTATCATGATTGAACAAAACCTTTGGCAGGTACTGTATGAAAAAGTATGTTTAATGAGTATAATAAGCATTTTTTTCCCTACCTACGATTTTGCCAGACATTGGAAGGGGCAAATCGCTAGAGAAAGTAAATGTAGTATAATAATCATCTTTATTTTATTTATTGATCAATGGGTAGGTAGGTACAACCGCGTTACAAGATTTTAGATAAAACGTTCGTTAAAATAGCAACATCTTCAATAAAAGTTGGACCTGAGCAGAGAAGCGACTATTTAGAACCTAATAGCGTATTAAACGTCTCATAATAAAGGCCATAAAATCTTAGGATTACATTTTATATACAACATGAAATAGCCACTACATGTTGCAGGGAATTTGTGCAATTTGTAAAAATTTTACACCATAACTTCTGCGGAAGATCAATTTGTGGAGTTTATCATTCAATACAACCAAAAAATGCAAATATAACTATCTAATTTTAATATATTAAGTATTGTGGGTGAAAACGTCAAATAAATATCAGTCCATTGCCTATCTCATCCATCATACACACCGGATTTTGCTTCTAAAACTTCCCTTGAGCATTTTTATGTCAATATTTTGAATCAACAACACTCTGTGTAGCATTAACGTAATTTATTTGTATTTCTTTGTGTTAGAACTACAATAATTAGAAGCATAATCTATTAATTATTCAAATTTGTTTTCTGTTTGAAAGAAACACAATACCTGTTTATACTATTTTTTCTCCAAGCCGGTGGATGCAAAGGCAACTGAAAACATTTTGAGAAACAACTGTGGGTCTTCCTTTAATTATCTAACGCTGTAATTACCTTGTTCTACAAAACTTTTCAAAGGTTTAAATTAGAATTGCTGTATAATTTATAGCAACATCTGTTAAGGTGGAGTAGAACTTAACACTTTCGCTGTTATTACATAACGCGGTGTCAATTTTAAGAAACTGTGATGGAATATTATACAGGGCGTCCCAAGACAAAAGGTCAGGTTCGTTCGCTTTTGATGTCGTAAATACATGTCAAAGATCATTGACGACTTCATAAAACTAATTTTTTTTCTATCCCTCGGGAACAGTGTTTGTTTTTTCTGGATGAAAAGTACTCTATGTCCTCTTTTGTATCCTTGAAAATGTGTGGACAAAATTTCAGGACAATCGGTTAAGTAGTTAAGGCATGAAATGGTAGCAACCAAACAAATAAACTGAAATAGTTAGGATTAAAAGAAATAACAAGTAAGTAATTTCGAAAACATTAGTGAAAATGTTGATATTACGAATGAAAGGTTTTTAACTGCTGTTACCAAATTACCAATAATGTACCTAAAGAAAATGCCTTTCAAGGTTGAAATTACCTTTATATGAATAATATTAAACCTAAATTATAGGTATAAACGTACAATGGTGTGTTATTTTCACCAATCAATATGTATAACTATCCTGAAAATAATTGTTACTTGTATAGTATATTGTATAACCAAAATCCGTAACACACGTACGATTACACCTGGTTTTTAATTAATCTATGTGTATTTAGGTCAATACTTAATTTTTTAAAATTTAATCATAATGAGACAAGCTGTAGTCTGAGACTAATTGAAGTTTATATAAAAAGAGGTAACTTTCTAACTTTCTGATGCATAAAAGCTACGTTAAGAAGTTTTTCGAATTAACTTCTGTACTTGAATACTTCGAAACATCAGATACTGCTCGGTAGAATAGAAGTTTGTGTAATTACGTTAGATCGAACCGAAAACGAACCCAGTACTGAACCACAATCTAATAAAATTGGTCTTGGTGTAACTGTACGTATCTAAAATCATTTCATTTCATTATCAAGTAATAGTTTAATATTAAGATAGCATAACTTCACCAGTTGAAATTCAATTAAAGATTCTTTTTGGAAATTTATACGTTTCGAAATGGAAATATTTTCAATTTATTTTAGAAGACGTTGCATCTGCCTGTTATATACGTATTTTACACCCTGTTATCGTTTTTCTCTGGGATTTGTAGCTCATAATCTTTTCAGATATTTTGTCGATGGGCATTCTACCTAAGTGCTCGTTCCATCTTTTTCTATTTTGTCCAATTAAGACCTTCATCCCGAAGGTTCGCAGCTCTTCCCTTATATCGATGTTTCTTTTGCTATCTACCTGCTACCCTTTCCAAGAGTTTGATTCTTAACATTTACATCATTGTATAAAATTCACTGCCGTCTATAAAACGATATTATTAACGTGATCACAGTTGCTATATAGTTCCGTCTGTTTAATTTTTTCTATTGTCATTTAGTCTTAATTTTCGAAATTTTCTCTCTACCTACAATTAATTTCCTTTGAAGTCATAATATGCAACTGATACGGTTATACGGTAATATAATGATGCATTCGGTTTACATTTCCTACTAAAATGTATTTCGAGTTTCAGAAGGTATTATTGGAAACCAAGTAAATGAAAATACCTTTTTAAGGCTGACTGTAAAAAGATTTGCCTAATGTTAATAGCCCTAATGCTTACTCTGCTAAAGGAAATTCAATTCCCTAGAAGTCTCTTTATTCATTTAGAAAAGTAGATGTCTGAAGAAGGTGCTTTGGAGAATGTAATTTCTAAAAATCAGGAATTATGCATCCTTTAGATAGATATTAATCATCTTGACAGGGGCTTTCGTTTCCTTTTCTACCTGTACATTGATTAAATCTTATCAAATCTTAGAAGCATAATTCACATCTGTTGCATACTTAACGTTTTTATTTGTATTTATTATTGTACTAATTATTTTTTGAGAATTTGATGCATACAATTTGACAATTTTTTTTACGGGTTAAAATGACCTTTGCACATTATAAGAAAAATTACAAAAAAAAAAGAAAACCGTATTTTTATAAAATTAACGTCTTAAAACGTTTGGATGGTAAGACACAACCACTTTTTTTTCTATATAAGCGATCCCAAATTCCATTCCAATTCGAGACAGAAACGTCTATAGTCAGATGAACAGAAATGATGATTTTATCAGATCCGTGATGACGTAAAATCGTATTTGTGTCTGTCAGAATCCAATCTATACCTAGTAACACAAACAGAATCGATAATACATTAACAAACAAAGTATCCTAAAGGGTACATGATTACAAAATACATATACGTATATCACACAGGGCATATTACGAAAGCCCTAAACAATTTGCATAAATATAAAATGCATGTTGCTAGAGATAAGGACAACGTTAAATGGATTCGACTTTTGAATCCTATCACAAAATTTAAGTACGTTATGTATTAATAACTAAAGAATGCAAAAATTAAAAAAAAAATGGATTATTAATAAATAATTAGATTACCGTTCATAAATAGTTAAGGATGTTCTAGTTGTAGGAAAATGCGAAGATTAGCCCAGGATAGGAAAGAGTGGAGTCTTATACGACTGAAGACCTTATGATGATGAATATAATTCAATTTTTGTTACAAATAAAGGCCACCTGCAAAATTTATTTAAATAAGTACTTGTCAATATGCATGAATCCTTTTTTGCGAAAAATAATTTTTTTTTGTTTCTTCGTCAAAAAAACCTCTTGGGGAATATAAAAAATAAACGATTTTAATGTTTCTTGGGTGATATGCGGTACACCCTGTACAGTTAGCAGTTTGATTAGGTGGCAGTAGCGGTGAGGGTGGTGGTAGTGACGGTGTCGCCACCGGCGTCTGTCGGCGGCACAGCAGTGGCGGCGGTGATAGTAGCGGGCGCTTCGCCAGGAAAAACAAAGGTTTCCCATGTGTCCGGACTGAGTGTGTAAACGTGGATAAGTGGTAAACAAGGTAGTAAATTTCCCCGCTTAACCCGCGCACGTCGACCAACTAACGCCGCGACGACGACAAATACGACGGCATTATCTATCGCCGTAGCTGAAGTGCACCCCGCGATTACAAATTTCAATAACTAATTGTCCAAATGCTCAATCCTCACTTCAGTTCGAAGTTAAAACCCCTAGAAAGCATTTCACTTTTGCTTCTTAACAACATCGCCCACATATATATCGTTGTAGATCCCTTTTACCTATCGTAGATCACAAGGGCAGATATGTGCTTCCCTTTTGGACGGTGCGGAAACTCAGTCAAAATTACATTATTTTCCAAGTTTATATTGGCATCGGATAGATCGTTTATTAAGTCGTAATATACAGGGAGAAAAATTAATAATTATGAGGATCACAATATTACAATAATTTAAATAGTTCACGTAATAGATATCATAAACGTAAGGTATAATCTAGGTACATATAAGCTACTATTAAGAATTGTAAGTTACAACGTTTAAATGTAGTCATCAAGTAGGGTGAACGTACGTAAGTCACAACTAACTTTCCGGTTCCAGTATGAAGATTTTAAAAGATACCTACTGTGTATAATGGGAACAATAAAGTAGGAGTTTTAATATTTTATGTAATATATTTTTCTGTAAAATAATTTCGTACCCACAAGTTTGTGAATAATTTTAAGTACATTATCCTAAAAGCTAGTCTGCATTCTGTACGTATTGCGCTTTTGTTTATAGTGTTTGCCTGTTCAATCCTTTTGGAGTCAAAAGTTTTATTTAT